AGGTCGAGCCTGTAAGCCAGCTTGCCGATCTTTTTGGTCACTATGAATGGACCCAGATACCTTGCGTCCAGTTTCTTGGAAGGTCGGCTTGTGGTAATGTTCTTTGCCCGGAGCAGAACCAAGTCACCTTCCGCGAAGTGGAGCGGTAGTCTGGAAGGGTTGTACCATTTTGCATTAGTCCGCTGGGCTTTTTCCAAACTGGATTTGGCGGCGCTGCTCATGTCCGCCCACTCAGTGAGTCTGTGGCTGACCTGCCGTCGCAGTTCCGGTGTTGGCCCGCCCTCTGACCATGAGGTGGGTGGTCTCCGTAACCAATGCTCGTCAGGCACGCCATCGAAACCCTTGGGGTTTGTTCCGAAGGCGACTCTTATGGGCGACTGCCCATGTGCTGAGTGCTCTTTGGAGTTGTAGGCGTATTCCGCGTAGGGCAACAGGCCGGCCCAGTCGTCTTGCCTGTACCCCATGTAGATGCGGAGGTACGTTTCCAGTTCCTGGTTCTGTCGCTCCGTCTGCCCGTCTGTCTGGGGGTGGAACGCAGTACTCAGGCGGTGGTCTATCTTCATGTGGAAGCATATGTCTGACCAGAACTGGCTGGTGAAGACTGAGCCTCGATCCGACACCAAGGTGTCGGGTGGGCCCATTTTTAGGAAGCATTGCCGCAGCAGGATGTCGGCAACCCCTTGGGCAGTTATCGTCTTTGCTACGGGGAGGTAGCGGACGTACTTCGAGAACCTGTCCACCAGGACGAGGATTGCATCGAAGGTGTTTCCTTGTTCATCTTGGGACTTTGGCAGGTCGGTGACAAAGTCCAAGGAGTAGTGGCGCCAGGCGGTGTCTGGCACTGGTAAGGGAACTAGTTGTCCCCATGGCTTGTGCCTGCGGATCTTGTTCAGTTGACATGCGGCGCATCGCCGGATGTATTCGCTGACATCACGCTTAGCGTGTGGCCACCAGTATTTCATTTTGAGGACGGCGACAGTCTTGTCGACGCCGTAATGTCCGCCCATGGGATCATCGTGATTCCTTATAAGTAGGTTCGCGCGGAGTGCTGCGTCTTCGGGTATCCACACTTTCCCGTTCCTGCGCAAGATGCCAGTGGGGTCAACTTCCCATATATTGGCTGTCTTATTCGCCTCGCCCTCCGCTCGTCGCGTCAGCGCTTCATTCCCGTGATAGGCCCGATCACGTTCCTGAACCAGCCTGATGTGTTTGAGTAGGAGGTCTGGGGGTTCCAGTGCGAAGGCGTCTTCGCCCTGCGCGGCTTCATGCGCCAGACTGTTGGGCGAGAGGTATTTGCTGTCAAGGCTCTGGAGGAGGCCTTTAGCGATGTCAAATCCCTCTGGCCTAGCTTCGTATGTACCTTCCTCACATTGGCAATCTTCGCCTGTGGTTGGAGTGTGAGGTAGGGGAGGCGACTCGTCGCCGTGTTCTGACATCAAGTCAGGGAATTCCTGCTCGGGAGCGAGTGTTTCGGATGGTTGACGGGACCTCTCAGGTCCTCCATCGGGGAGTTCGCTGCCCTGTACTTCCCAAGTAGTACTAGAAGCCATGGACGTCCGGATGGTCCATACTCGAAGCTTTTGTTGGAGGGTTGGCAGCATGGCATCTTGCAGCGGCTTTTGCTCGCCAACCCGGAGGCCTTGCGCGTAGTCAGGTCTCCTGGATGGGCCGTCCGCCGGGTTGTCAGCCCCCGGTTTGTATTCGATTTCAAAGTCGAATCTGGCCAGTTCCTCCGCCCAGCGGGCTTGTTTGGGGGAGAGTTCCTTCGTGGTCATGAAGTACCTCAGGTTGTTGTGATCGGAGAGTACCCGGATCGTGGACGGGGCATGCTCGAGGTAGTGTCGCCATGTTTTGAACGACTCAACTATCGCTGATAGTTCCTTGTCATGCGTGTGCCACCGCAGTGACGGGCCAGTGAACTTCTTGCTCCAGAAGGCCACTGGCTTCCAGTGCTTCTCCGTAGGAACGTCTGTGTTCGCTGGCTGGAGGAGGATTGCTGCCATGGCGAAGTCTGACGCATCAGTCAACACCATCACTGGCTTGGTTGGGTCGAAGTGCTGGAGTACAGGTGCCTCCGTGAACTTCTGTCGCAGTGTCGTGAACGCTTCTTGGGCGTCCTCCGGCCACGACCAAGGCAAGTGCCATTTGGTGGGCCCTTTGCGACTTTTCGCCTTTTTCCTCTGGGCTTCCCCCCCTTTGGGAGTACTCTGGGGAGGCGGCGGTGCTTGGGCGCGTGTCATAAGGTCCACCAGCGGGCGGACAATGGCGGAGTAATGATAGATGAACCGTCTGTAGAAGTTGCAGAACCCGAGGAAGACTTGGATGTCTTTGTACCCTATGGGTTCTGGCCATTCCTGTATTGTCTGCACCCTTGCTGGGTCCATCACGACGCCTCCTGGGGTAACAATGAAGCCCAAGAACTCCACTGACTTAGTTGAGAAGGCGCACTTGTTCGCCTTGCAGAACAATCCCCATTGGACCAGCCGATCAAGCACTTCTTCAACGTGCCTGTCGTGGTCTTCCTCATGTTCAGAGTAGATGAGGATATCATCCAGGTACACCACGCAGGTGCGGTCGACCAACCCTCCAAGAGCGCGGTGGACGTAGGACTGGAACGTCGCTGGGGCGTTGGCCAGTCCAAATGGCATAACGTTGTACTCGTAATGGCCATATCGGGTTTTGAAAGCTGTCTTCCATTCATCCCCTTCCCGGATCCGGAGCCTGTGATAGGCGTCGCGGAGATCCAGCTTGGTGTAGATGGCAGCTTTCGATAACCGGTCCAACATCTCGCTGACCAGCGGGATGGGGTACCGGTCCTTGATCGTGACCTTGTTAAGGCCGCGATAGTCGACGCACAAACGCATTGTGCCGTCTGACTTTGGGACGAAGAGGATGGGTGCTCCCACTGGCGACTTGCTAGGTCGGATCCATCCCTTCTCCTGCGCCGTTGCGAGGTATTCCCGTAGTATCTCCAACTCCCTGCCTGAGAGGTTGTAGATTGGGAGGTTTGGGATCTTCTTCCCTTCCTCAATTTCTATCGCGAGATCATACTCGCTGTTGGGGCGGATGATGCGCGTCTGCCGCTTGCTGAAGGCTAGCCATCGATGGTGTAGCTTGCTCGGGACGTGCTTCAGTTCTTCGAGATCTGGTTCATCGTCAGCCAGGTGGAATCCTGGTGGACCTTCCTCTCCGTCGGAGAGAGAGCGGCCCTTGTGCGGAGGCACTGCGGCGCGCTGAGGGTCTCCATTGAATACCGCTGCCACCAGGCGATGAGTGGCTTCCTCAGGAAGTCCTGCCAGATCTGGTGCGTCGGCGATGCACTTGTCGAGGTGGGCTTTGGTCCTGTGTGCCCAGGCCTTAACCCAGAGGATGCCTCGACGGTTGTACCAGTCATCGTCCCTGATCTCGTCGCCGCTTAGTCCCGGCTGCAGTGTCGAGGTTTCAGTGACGTGTTGCTTTTCAACGTCTTGGAGTAGTGTTTTAAGCTGTTCTGAGATCGTTGAACATGACAATACCCCTGGGTGTAGCACGTAGGCTCGTTCCCCCTTGGCGATGTCATGTAGCAGACTGCTGGCGGTAGTAATATGGATTCGGTCTGTGTCGCCTTCGGGCCACCAACGGAACGTCCCTTTAGAGAAGTGGATTTGCGGATCCGCATCCCGCAGCCAGGGGTATCCTAGAACCATGTTGTCGCAGGCCAAGCGCTGTCGGGAACATGAACCTTATTACTAATAACGCTGTGCGATGACCTCCATATAAGCTGAGCTATGATGCTAGAACAATACAACACATACACACTTCATAATTTCTCGTACTTGCAACTCCGCACCCAACCGTGCGACAGATGGATATCGGCACCTCGGTGTTTGGGTGGGGACACACTAAAAACGAGCTCCTTCGTACAAACATCACCTCGAGGCGCTTTGGAAGGTGCCAGATAGCTACAACGAGGCGCGAGATGGGCCTCATTCAGACTTGGGAACAATCAAAAAATCGCTGTGTTTGATTCCTATTCAAGGGTGTCACAGACCCATTTACGATCAAAATACCCCTAAATAGGAATCAAACACGGCGATCTTTTGATTGTTCCCAAGTCTGGCCTCATTACCGCGCTGGTTGGCTTACTAGCAACCACCGGGCGTTCTTGTCAATGTGGCAAGATCGCAAAAACGCCGCTGTTGTTGCAGCTGGCGTAGCTACAACGCCTCCGCTACAGAAGCCACGTGTTGGTTTATCAGCGTCCCGATCAGCCTTCTTGCAGTCTTTAATGGAGCTCGCTATGAAACAGGTAGAGGCAAGGCTTGAGGACGAGTACGAGGTCTGGAGACGGCAGCCAGTACTAGACGACGGCCCTCTAGCTGTGGATCCAATTCAGTATTGGCAGTTGCATGTACACAAGTATCCTGTGCTCGCAAAGTTTGCAATTGACGTGCTAACAATCCCTGCTGCGGCTACTGATTGTGAGCGAACTTTCAGTGAGTGCGGCGACCTGTTAGGCACGCGGAGGCTTCAGATGAAGCCTGATTTGCTTGCAGCATTGCAAAGCTTGAAGAGCTGGGAAAGGATTGGGATTCAATTGCAAACATCACCAAGTTTTGGGCTCGTACGAGGCCTTACAATAGAGGAAATCGCCAAGATACAGCAGCAATATGACCAGTTTGACTGCAGTTAACGCAATCTGATCAGTCTAATCAGCCTGGAGAGCTTCATCTTTTCAGTCTAATCAATCAGTCTCGATCCTCCGCAAAAGTCTTGGCAATCAGTCTAATCAGTCTAAAGAGCCCTACTATCCCAGTCCAATCAGTCCCAAGGCCTCGGACTGATTGAATTGACTGTTAGCAAGTCTGGACCAACTGCCTGACGCGTCGTCGACGGTGTAATTGGTTGCGGTGTACACAATGAAACGGCTAAGGCTGATGATGATTGTGATCAGACCAACGGAGAAAACACCAACAACACGGTGCAATGCAATCTTATTCAAAGCGTGCCATAGTCCACTTCTACCACCTCTCTCTTCTGTCTCTTTGTCGCTCGCCTCCACGCCCATCCTTGTCTCGCTGCCCACCACTCCAGTCGACGTCATTTCTTGCATCGAATACGGTTCCGTCTTGGTGTGGCTTTGCGCCTTTGTCCGTAGTAGCGTTGCTGTCCTCTGGACTTTGATTTCCTTTACCATTGGCGTCTACATCTGCGCGGATGACGTTTCTGAATTTTTTGACCAAGTCTTCCACTTTGAATGGCTTGCTGATGACCTCGTCCATGCCTGCATCGATCATGCCCTTCCTCTGCGCCTCTCTTACATTGGCACTGATGCCCAGAATCCGCGAGTAGCCTATCTTGCCCTCCTCTTGCAACTTTCGAATTTCCTGCGTTGCCGTGTTCCCGTCTTTGATGGGCATTTCTTGATCCATGAGAATGCAGTCAAAGTAATTGCGGTCGTTAGTATCTTCGGGTACGTTCTGGCCACGCTTTGCAACAGCATCGACGGCTTCTTGCCCATTGCTTGCGGTAAAAACTTCAAAGCCTCGGGACTGTAGTTGGCGACGAAGGACTTTCCGGTTGATTATGTTGTCTTCTACGAGAAGGATGGTGCATCTGGTTTCGAAGCTCTTCTGGCTGTTCGATAATGATACAGTGTCCGCTGCATCTTGTTGGCTCGTCGTGTCGCTTCCTCCCAGGTTGAACAGCTTGTCTTCGATAGCGGTGGTGGTGGATGTACTCTCGCGTTGAACTTGACTCACGGTCCGTTTCGTCTCCCCGGTCCAGTTGTCTTCGGAGGATTCTGGATGTGCTTCTGCTCTGTACTCCGTTGGTGGGTTCTTGAGAGAGTCATCGACCTTGTCGATGTCGATCCCCCGATGGCTTGTGAGCGTCTGAGCTTCAGGCCGTGTTTCTTTCTTTCCCTCTTTAATGTTTAGGAAGTTGGGATTCGCAGGACTATACGAAGGCCGCGGGGTCTGGGCGCGATTGGATGGTTGAGCGCTTTGGTCAGAATTACTTCGAGATTGGCATGATGGTCGGCCGTCTGAACGCCGAACTTTGAAGAAGAATCCAAACGTTGAACCCTCCCCTTCTATGGAGCTTACACCAATGTCGCCGCCATGTAGTTGGCAGACTGGAGAGATGGTAAGCTGAGCTAAAACAAGTTACGCTATAGAACTTACGTTTGCGGGATATAAAAAGACCTAACCCCGAGCCTCCATATCTCTCCTGCGTTTTTGGTGTTGCTTGGCTGAGGAGCACAGATCAGTCTTGCGCACCAAGTTGATGAGAACAACAAACCTACCGAAATCGCTCGAATAACTTCTTTTGATCCTCTTCGTTTATACCTATGCCTGTGTCCTTGACAGCTATCAAGAGGTAAAAAGCGACCCCAGAACCCCACTCAGAGGTTATCGTCGAGTCAACGTGGAACGCTTCTTCATCCCGACCAAAGAATATCATGTTAGGTGGATACGAGGTTGGATGCTCCATAGAGGCACCTAAGGAGACAACAATCTTCCTCTCACCGTGCTTCTGAGATGTGAACTTGATTGCATTTGTGATCAAGTTAGCCAGAACTAACATGTTAGCACAGTTCACAAGCCAAAAGAAAAGTATCACCTTGTTTCATCCTATTAAGATCGGCAATAACGTGATCAACTTCGAGTTCGTCGTACGAAACATCCATTGCATAATGAAACTTGATGTTCTTTGCTCTGAACTCAGATTGAAACACCTTGAGGAACGTAGAGAATTCCCATTTCGGCCGTACTTCTATGACGGGGTCAGCGAATATGCCGAGCATGCACAGTGCAACTCACCATGCGGGATAAGAGTTAGCATCATGGAATCAAGCTTTGAGAAGGATAGTATGTCGTCGACAAGGTTGTTCTGATGGGAGACGCACAGCAGTATTGTATCTGCAGCGTCCATAATATCTGCGACCTGGTCGTGCAGCTCCGTGTGGCTGTTCCCAATCTCACGGGTAACCTCCTTGACTTCTTCGGCTAGGTGCAGGACGGCGCTGAGCGGATTGCGAATCTCGTGCGAAATCATGTCGATGAACCTCTCCTGCTGATCTTTGCGCTCTCGCGCTTCAGTGGCGGCTCGTTCTTGCGTAAGTTGGGCGTTCTTAATCTCAGTAATGTCGACAATGGCACTGATGAATCCGGCCTCGGCCTCCTCGCCAAGTGGCCTGAGCAGGAACAACCGCCATTCTTCGTGGCCAGCAGCGTTATCACCGACACATCGGAATTCGATCCTTAATTCATCGCGAGAGGAGAAGGCTTTGCGGTAGGCACTCATGACATTGTCATAGTCATCCGGATGAATGCTCTCAGGCCAGGCGCGGAATTCGTTCTGGCCCTTGTTCGTCGTCAGCTTGAAGAAATCATCGTTGACGAACATGGCCTCGGCTTTGGCATCGAGAATGGCGAGGCCGTTCGGAAGCAGCTCGGCAAACCTCGCGAATAGCTGGGTCTGTCGTGCATCGGGCTGTAGTCCCACGTCACCTTTTCCCTGCTGTTGCGATTGGGAGTCCTTCAGCTGCCTGCTGGGGTTTTCGCGCGCAAGCTTAGTAAGTCCCTTGAGCGACAGGTACTTCTCGACCGAGTTGTTCTGCAGCATCTGGGCCAGGACGCCCTGGCGGGTGCCTTTGTCATCGACGAGGGTGCTAAGTAGGATCTGCGACTCAGGGTCATCGAGGTCCTTGAGGAAAAGGCGGGCGACTGGCGGGCGTTAGGACGGGAGACATCAGGGAGGGGCAAGCCGATGCATACCTACCTTGACCGAGCGGCCGCGTACGACGGAGCGCAGGGCGCGGAGGGCTTCATCGGAGTAGCTGTAGTTGGCAGAAGTGCCCTGCCCGTCGAGGTTACTTCGCGCGCGCCCCCAGGCGAGGTTGTAAACGACGGCGAGGTCGCTGCCCCAGAAGATGGCGGCGCAGTGGGGCATGGGCAAGACACACGAGTTGACGAGACATGTCAGCGACGACGGCCAGGACTCGCGCGGTCCCAGTGGGCACTGAGACCAGTCATTCTCGTCGAGACTCTGCGCGTTTAGGTCGAACACGGGCAGACCGGCCGCCGAGAGAGTATCGAGGTTCTCCATGGGTGGTGCGGCTGTCTGAGATATTGCGGCCGTGTGCGAGCCCAGCAGTGCCACGAGGCATGGCGGCGATTCGGCAAAGACGTGGGCGCAAAAAGAGCAGCGATGACATGCACCAGGAGAGGACTAGCTCAGCGCTTCGCGTGCCTGGCATATCACGATCGCTCGCGCACACAACTTTGAATGACCACCGCAAAGGCGTGCACTCGCGGAGATTCATTCATTCATTCATTCCTTCGATCCTACTCAGTTTTAGCCACGTTTTTGTGCAGCTATGCCCGGTTAGTAGGCTTGGCAGACAGCCGACGCGGTGCAGAAGAAATTTCTACCCCGCCCCCATTTCACTTCCGTAAACAAGAGCCATCTGTCCCCAGAGGCCTGCTGTTTCCCTTCAGCCACTATCTACATTTGCTTGGCGGCCCATCCAGATAATGGTTCTACCAATTAGACACTGTGCTTCTAGGCTCATAGAGACGATGTGCCTCGTGTTTTGTGACTGTAATACCTTCAGTCTCACTCCAGCTCCGATAGTTTTGGTGTTCTCCGTGCGTTACCGTGTCCGTGCGCGTAGTGCACTTTTCGCGTAATGCGTATCTGAGCCACCCAACCGTCCCATCTTTGCAGTACTATTTCTCAACACCACAATGACTTTAGAAGAAGCCCTTGAAGAGCGACGTGTAACTGATCCTGGCGAAACGATCCCCGATCAGCATTTGGCGGATAAACACGGTGTTTGGCGATCAACTCTGACGCGGCGGGCAGAGGGAGAAACCGCGTCGCGTGAAGACAAGGCAATTGCACAACAGAAGCTTACGCCACAACAAGAAGATGAGCTTGTTACTTACATAGAAGGACTTACTGTACGTCACTTGCCACCTACAAGAACAATGATCAAGAATTTCGCGCAGGAGATAGCTGGTGTAGAGGTCTCTGATTCCTGGGTTACGCGCTTCCTCAATCGTCACCCCGAAAGGCTTACCTCGCAATGGGCAACTGGTATGGATAAGGAGCGTCACAACGCTGATTCTTGGGGAAAGTATGAGCAGTACTTTAGGCTCATGGACCAGAAGATGAAGCAATATCGCATTGAGACTCGGCACACATGCAATATGGATGAGAAGGGCTTCGCGATCGGGAAGATTGGCAGGTCCAAGAGAATCTTCGACAAGGCCTTGTACAAGCAAAAGCACACTCGGCAGTCACTCCAAGATGGCAATCGTGAGTGGATCACACTCCTTTCTTGCATCTGCACCGATGGTACAGTCCTTCCGCCAGGCCTCATATATGCGGCTAAGACCAGAACGTCCAATTAAGCTGGTTGGTCGATGTGGAAGCAAAGGAACACTCAGTATTTACTGCTGTTTCTTCTTCTGGCTGGTCGAACGATGACGCAGGGCTTGGCTGGCTTGAGCAGGTGTTTAATCGCTTCACTAAGAGGAAAGCAAGAAGAAAGTACCGTCTACTAATAGTAGATGGCCATGGGAGTCACCTAACTATGGCTTTCGTTTCCTTCTGCGATCGCAACAAGATACTGCTAGTTGTGTACCCTCCTCACAATACCCATACGCTTCAGCCGCTGGACGTAGTTTGCTTCAAGCCTCTGGCTCAAAACTACAGCGATGAGCTCACAGGTCATCTTCACAACAGCCAAGGCCTGGTCCCAGTGAAGAAGGGTGACTTCTTCCGCCTTTTCTGGGCTGCCTGGGTGAAGACCTTTACCGAGAAGCTCATCTACAGCGCCTTCAAGTCCACCGGGTTGAGCCCATGGGACCCTAACGTTATACTTAGTAAGTTTGCTCCTAAGGCACCTGAGCCTCCTCCAGTTACCCCACCTCCTCAGCCATACGAGGGCCCCGATTGGCGACTTGCTGACAGGGCTCTGCAGCGTGCTGTGGAGGACAAGTATGCAGAAGACTCAGTGCGGGTACGGGATACCCTTCACCATCTCCACATCCAAAATCAGCTACTCACGATGACAAATAAGGGGTTAGATCAAGCTCTGAGGCAGCAAAAGAAGGGCAATAAGAAGAGCAGAGCTTTGCCACTCATTCAGAGGCAAGATTGGGATGGGGAGACTCAGTGGTGGTCTCCTTCGCGCGTCAACAAAGCTCAGCAACTCCTGGGTGAAGCAGATGAGGCAGAAAGGCAAGAAGAGATCAGAAAAGCAGACGCAGCTGAGCTTCGTGAGACCACACGCAAGTTCAAGCAAAAGCTTGACGCTGAGAAAGCGGAGAAGCGGGAGAGAGAGAAGAAGGAGAGGGATAAAAGGAAGGCAGGGGAGCGCCAACAGATTGATGCACGCAAGGCAGAGCGAGCGCGCAAGGAGGAGAAAGACCGTGAAAACGCATCACGCACTAAGCTAGCGGCCACCGAAGCTGGCCACCCACTGAAGCTGGCCACCCGTCCAGAACTTGGCCACCCACTCCACGCTCATGATTTCTCCATAACCACGCAACCAAAATGGATCCCCGTGAAGCAGCAATTCAAGCAGCTATTAGCGACGTTGTTTCTGGTGTTTTTACTAGTCAACGAGCTGCTGCAAAGGCGTACAAGATCCCTCGAAGCACGCTTGCGGCCCGACTACGTGGTACACAGACACGTCAATCTAGCCACGAATACCAGCAGCGATTAACTCCACAACAAGAGGAATTTCTTGTACAATGGATCCTTGAAGAGGACGCACGCGCGTTTCCTCCATCCCATGCGCGCGCGCGAGAAATGGCGAATCGAATCCTGAGGATGAATGGTGACAACAATCCTGTGGGCAAGCGTTGGATATCCTTCTTTCTTAAGCGTAACCTACGCGTCGCATCTATTGTTGGTAGAAAGATAGAGGGCTCGCGGGCTGAGGGCGCAACACAGGAACAGATACGCGCGTTTCTTGAGCTCTTTGAGAGGACTCGCGTACGACTAGGTATACGCACTGAGGATATGTGGAATATGGACGAGACTGGCAAGGCTATGGGGGTATGTGCAAACACTAGAGTCCTCGCAGATAGCCGTAAGAGCAAGGCTTACAAGCAGTCGCCAGAGAATCGCGAGTGGGCATCAATAATCGAATGCGTGTCGGCTACAGGCAAGAAACTGCGCTGCGGGGTGATATTCAAGGGCAAGAACCTACACAGTACTTGGTTTCCTGCGATAATACCCGACTGGCTTTACACAACCTCTGAGAACGGCTGGACATCAAATGCGATAGGCCTCGAATGGCTGCAACGGATATTTCTGCCTGAGACGGCTCCATCAGACGATCGTTGGAGGATGCTAATTCTAGACGGCCACGGCAGCCACATTGATCTAGAATTCCTGTGGACCTGCAAGCAGAATAAAGTTCAGCTTCTGTTTCTACCTGCTCACTCATCTCATGTATTGCAGCCACTAGATCTCTCAGTTTTCTCAGTAGTGAAGAGATTCTACCGAAACCAGATCCAGGAACTATCGCATCTAGATGACGCAGCGCCTGTTAAAAAAGAACGCTTTATTACAGCCTACTATAACGCTAGAGAGGCTGCGATTACTGAGAGAGTAGTACGAGCTGGATGGGCTACTGCAGGCATCTGTCCATTGAACATTGAGCGGGTAGTCAACTCCTCACAGGTAGCTCAGAGGCCTGTTACGCCACCACGTCAGACTCAAGCTCAAACTGCTAAAAGCTATCTATCTACCCCCCGTGGACCTCGTGATCTTTTTATAGCTCAGCAAGAGCTGCACAGGAACGAGAGTGTTAGCCGCAAGACTCACCAGCTTATTCAAAAAGCAGGCAAAGCTATTGCAGTAGCAAATACTCGCGCAGCACAGCTAGAAGCAGAGAACAAAAGACTATATAGTCAACTTGAGGCTCTTAAGCCTCAGCAGCCACGAAAGAAAGTTCATGTAAATTCAAATCAACGCTTTGCAGATATAGAAACAATTATGGTAGCAGTGCAGGCGTCTGCTCTTTTAGAGTTACAAAACAATAGTAACGCTGCAGAAAAAGCAGCAGAGAGAGCAGCAGCTAAATCAGCAGCTCAAACTCTTCAGTCTATGTGTACAGAGTGGCAATTGTAACTAGGATGAATTAATTACGTTGATTTTTGATGGGTGGCCGAGTTCTGGGCGCGTGGCCAGCTTCGGTGGCCGCTAGCTTAGGATGTTTACTTTTTGTACGTGAAACGGGGCATCCCGTGCATCTGATACATACCCTAGTCAACAGAGCGACTACAAGTACAGCTCTACGAACACCTGTGACCTGTAGAACTCCACAAAGTCACACTCATATTATTGCCTCTCACCTTCTCCTCCTACTGTCAAATAGTCCTTAGGAAACCCTGTAAACCTTTTAATCCCCTAAACTGCCTTATTTAGACCTTCAACCCTTGATCCATTACGGCAATGTCGTCGGAAGCTTCCTCAATATTAACACCAGAGACATCAACACCATCAGAACCAGCGCATTTCGATGCCGTTATCCGTTCTCACCATATCATCGTCCAGAATGCGCACCGCAAGCGTCGCAGGATTCAGTATTCCTGCAAGCTCTGCTCATGGAAGAGTCATCACCGCGGCAACGCCGTTCGACATGTTCTAGGCAGTCATTCCATGCGTGCGGCATCTCAATCATCTCACACGACACCTACACCACAACGAGAGATTACAACTATGTTTACGCCTCTGTCCTCACAGGCAACCCTTCGGAATGCCTTTAACCAACAGGGCTATCGCGAGGCCGTTATCGGACTACTCACACGACGCCGGATGCCCTTTCAATCTGTCGAATGGAGCGAGATGAAGGATCTAGCGCTCGCCTGTAATCCCTTTATTGAGGACCTACTCATTACATCTCGCCGTACTGCTGTTCGTTCTATTGCATCCAATTACTCTCTCTACAGAGGCCAGATTCGAGATAGCCTTGCCGCCGCTATTAGCCCGATTCATCTAGCGACTGATTTATGGACTCACCGCATCTTCACTCTCTACTAGCCATTTGTGCCCAGTGGGTGGATAGCCAGTACGTCCTCCAGAAA